ATAACTTTTTATTTCAAGGCGACATGCTGTAATGTAAAGAGTTTACTTTTTTTTTTCTGGATTTTTTTTCTCATAAAAAGTTTTCAACAATACAACCGTTTAACAGATTTAAGCCTTTAGGCTACACATGCAAAAAAGAAAAAAAAAATTGTTAAGTTAAAAATCACCAAAACGTGCTATTTTTTCTGTTTTGTTTCATTTTTAAGTACAGGAGTCGTAGACAGTAGCATTTTTCTTTTTTAATTTTGTAAAAGAGTGCAGGCAGGTTCATGGAGCTAGTGTCCTGGAAGACTCGTACTCTGACATACATTTTGGTTTTATCCCTTTGCCATTGTAATAGTCCACGACTTGGTTTGGAACTTCAGCCAAAACGCTTTTTGCGAGAGCAGCTGGGGATGCCTGCAGGAAATGGTAGAAAACACAAGTGTTAACGTGGCTCTCTGCTAGAAGTGCCATGGGTTTTAGAGGCATGGGTGCCATGAGATCAGGGATTATGGTACAGAAATGGAAGGCCAAAAAGATTCAAAGTGAAAGGCACTATTGCTTGAAACTAATTTTATGGGTCAATTTAGGGATGCAGCTATAGCTGCCTGAAAGGGCACTACAGCTAAAATTTCTCTGCATGTTTTTCAGGTCTGTTTGGACTATTTCAAGTTCAGCGTAACTGAACTTCCCTGCACTCTGAGAGAGCACCATATTGCAACAAAAAGAGCTGCAAAGACTTTGTCAGTGTTCAATGAGGAAACATGCAGAGCTTCAAGTTGAACATGGATGGTCATCATGGTGAAAGGGAGGCCTCCATCACCATTCCGCTCTTCAGAGTCTGGCATGGTGTTTTAAAGGCCAGGGAAATTTTTTAATTCAATAAAAATACTTTGTCTTTATTGGAATTAAACCATGGTTACAAGAAAGCTTCAATCCTAGCCTTCGTGGAGGCTTTAAAGCTCTCGCTGTAACATATTAATAGTGAGTGACAACCAGAACTTAAGACCTGATAACCCTGAGAATGCAGAGATGCATGCAGAGATGACCACTGACTTTCACTCCAGGAAGGGAGGAGGGTTCCCCCTCAGTGCAGTGAGGAACCATGCCCTCCACTGACAACACAGAGTTGCTGCCTCCCACCCCAACAATGCTTCATTTTAAGCAGAGGGGTCTATGGATGTTCTGTGGGCAACCATTACCTGCAGGCAATGCAGGGATTTTCCTCAGCCCCTGAATTCAGCAGTGACAAAACTGAACTCCCGTTCTCTCATGCACCTGCTTGCCCCAGGTTTTGGATTTGCTTGTTTCCAGGTGTTTGGGTTGAGCTGGTTCCAAGTCCTCTGGAGCCAGCCTGCTCAGCCATGTCCCCTCTGAGCCCACCACAAAAAGGCAGTAAAAATGCAAATACTTAGATATCAGTTTGGGAGATTTAAATGAATGTGTTTATCTCCAGACAGAGCACACACTACAGCTCAGACGATGTATGGGAACTCAGCTGGTGGCTGGATGACATTTCTTCTGCACACCAAGTACTTTTTCCCAAATTAATGTACACTTTCCTCCTCACTCTTTGTTATATTGCCAGCCAGGTTTCAAAACTACCATGTCACAAAGCAGTTGCATTGACTGTTTATTGACCTGTTCTGTTTGATGGAGTAGGATTCTTATCCTTCCGGAGTCTGAAATTGAATGTAAACTATTCATAGACATGCTAATCCAGGGGTGCAGAAAGCCTCAGGGCTATTAGAAATTCCAGTATCAAATGTTACAATGCTCCAAATCAAAGATACTGCATACCGCTAGCAAAACCGGAAACAGAAGTTTGTGGTTGTTTTGTTTTTGTTTTTTATATTTTGAGTCATGTATGGTATTAGTAACAAATAAAATGAACTAGTATTTCCCTACTGGGACATTGATACCAAAATATTTGTGCTGGCAAAAAAGCCTGGAACATTTCTGCATTAACAAACAGGTAAAGCGTAGAGCATACTTTGTGTGACAGTGCAGCTACTGCTCTCAGGTGTAACACAGTAACAGAACCCATTTATATTAATCCTGAAAAGTGAAGTGCATGATTTTCCAGAGTTGCCCTATTCTTGCCTAAACCTGCTTTACAGAATCATAGAATGGTTTGGGTTGGAAGGGACCTTAAAGGTCATCTAATTCCAACTAAAATCATCAGAAAATACCCATTGTAATCAGGCAAATGGCTGATTTCTAAGTTGCTATTGAAAATTACTAGGTTTTAAATCTCCTTCCCTGTGTTTTAAAGCCGTACATACCTCAGCCTGCATCTGTGCTAGAAATAGGGAGTGAGGGAAGAGAGCCCTGGGCTATCACTGCACACACAAGCTGTAGCAATCAGGAAACTTCACTCTGCTCTGTCTTTAAAAATGCTGGGAAGGAGCGCTTGCCTGCCATCAGCTTCTCTAGATCTCACGAAGCTCCAGGTCTGAACACTGAGCCAGAGGTGGCTACTGTTACGGGCACTCACCCCTTTGCATCCTCCTCCCTTCACCACTTCTCTCTTCTGACGCCACATCCATTCTTCCCAAACAAAGGGTCAGCCCTTCAGAATAGGCTCTGTCAGGGCTCAGATGCACAGCTGAATCACTGCCACTTGAGGAGTCCTCAACTAAAAAGCCTTTCGCTGAGGTTGAAGCTAAAACATTTACTGTGCCCAATGTGTCATGGGCAATGTGTGGCCCCACACAGAGCTGCCCTGTGGTAGCTGGCTTGTCTCCCTGCTGCAGTCTGAATATGGACAAGTGTTGCTTTACTGAACTTCCTTGTGCCAGTGACGTCTGTTGGTCCTGGAGCTCTTTTTAGCAGGGAGCATCCCAAAACCAGGGTTAGGGGTAATTTCCTGTCTGACAGTTTGGACCATTTGTACCTTACATACTTTTATGGTGGTAAAGCACTCTCATTTCTAGACCAGATGGTGAAAAACAGCATTTTATAAGAAAGTAGACTCAGTAACCTCTGAGCTAAAACCCAGACCCAGTTCGTCTGTGCTGTGTAAGGATTACCTTTGCTGGCTTTTTAACACAGATGGAGCATAAATGTTTTACTGTAACATTTTGTCCACTATTAAACTGCTGGAAGACCATTCTAGCAATAACCATCTCAAGGTGAATACTTCTCAACTGATAGCTAATACACAACAATCAGATCAGTCAGCAGCAGGAAAATAATCCCTATGAGTCTATTATTGGTGTGTATTACAAACACAGCTGACTGTTGGTTCATTTTTATAGCTTCACTATGCCTAATCTTTAATTACAACGCATAGTCCAAAACATTGTTCCTTGCAGTGGTGGAGAGCTGGGCTTTCCACATGCCTTTGTGATACAGGTGTTATTAAATCACACTTGTTAGCCTTTATGATTCAATACAATGCAGAATGGAATACAAGCTATCTGTGGCATCAGATTTGTGCACAGTAAATATATCATGTGTCCCAAAGGCAGAGAAGTTCAGCTCTTAAAATATGACTGTGAATGGATTGAGGCAGGTGATTTTCTTCAACTACATTTCAGTGACTGTGAGTATCACTGTTCTACAGTTTCAGGTGAAGGACACTCACATTACTGGGATGCTGATGATTATGGAGAGAAAAGTATCACTTAAGTTAAGAGAAAATATGTTCCCTTTGTTTGTTTTGTTTCCCTTTAGCAAATTGCATGTTACCCACTATACAATAGGATATATATTTAAGTGTTAATGGTTACCTTGATTTTATCAAGCCTTTACAAATACAGGATTTGCCAAGAGTCACTACAATCGTTATTATTATTTTGATGGTTTTAGAGATATTCCTTAAAGAGAGAGAAAAAAGGCTAGATACTTCACTAAAGTACTTCTGATACACTACATCACAAAAGGCATTAACCCCCTATAGTAAAATAAAAACTTCTGTCTATTCTGAGTCTTAAGCCAGTAAAGCACTGAAGTGAGTACAAAGTTTTAGGAAAGTAAATAACCCTAACTAATTGAAATGTGTTAAATGCCTGTAGGAGTGCTCTGCAGGATCAGAACCTTCTCTGAATTCAACGTTATAAAATAAAAGGAATTCACTCTACAGGTTATTTTTACGGCTTCCTTCTTGCCCTTTCCATTTTCTCACAGGGGCAGCTTTTGCATAGATTATTTTTGATCTCTTTGGATAGATATGAGATTTTGAGTTCCAAGCTGACATGAGCATTGCAGTAATGAAAAAAAAAGTTGTTGGGGTTGGCTCCTAATTAATTTAGGTTTACTCTTCCAGCAAAACAAAAAATAAATGTTCATACATTATAATTTCTTTTCCCCTTTGTTAGTAACAGAAATAATATGGATTTGGGCATAAATAAATATTTGATTTAGCAGAAAAACCTATAAACCTCACACAACTTGATTTGTAATCTTTCTAAAAAGATTCTGCAACATTTTTTTTCTACCTAATAAACAAAACACAAGGTACATTGACAAAAGGGATGTGATTTTTAACTAAACATGTATCTTGCTTAAAGCTGTCAAATATAATATGCTGATGTATGTTAATTCTTATGTTTTTTATAAGAATGGATCTCCCTAATGCATTAAATCTTCATTTCTCTGCGGAGAAAAATAAGTTTGAATCAAAATATCTTGCTCATTTCTCCCATGACAAATTATTTTACTAGTTGATGCAAAACACATGGCCTTTTGTTTGTGCTAAGTAAGCAAGATAGCTGTGAATGTCACTTTGTTGAGAGGGAGATATAATGTGGGCTATGATAATAAAGAAATTCAACCAGAAGTGGCTATTGTTACAGGCACTCATTCATTACACTGACATTTATCGGAAAGCTGAAAGATCACCAAGAAACAGAGTAAATATCAGGTTGCATAAGATATATTGACTTTTCTGTAGAGCAAATACAAATCTATCTCTATATCTATATTATCTTTGCTACTGAGGGAAAGAGGGAGAAAAATATCACTATTTAAGAAGAAAATTACATTAAGATTGCTATAATCTCTCAGTACTGAGGAAATTCAGCATATATTCTTTTTAGCTGATTTAGATTGTCATTTTACCAATTCTAGCAATAAAAATCACACAGATTCACTCCCAAGTTAACATCAGGGGCAAAATATATTCAGAACCCAGAACTGCAGCTGGCAGCATTAATCTAGTCAATCAAGGATGATTTGAGCTTTATTATAAAAAATACGAAGTAGAACTAAAAATAAAAAATGCAGCTGGCTTGGCCAGTTCCTTGCAGAGACATGTTTTCATCTAATTAAAAGTAGGCCTACCTACTAGCCCATAAATAACTCTGCTGTGGACACTTTTACAGTAGACCACAGAGCAGCACTATGCAGTTGTGATTACCTGCTGAAGGAATCACAAGCTATGAGCTGGTCTTGCTCATATTTGTTTCCGCACATAGGTGACCGTGTGCCACTGGCAGCATGGAAACGTACGTATCTATGATTCAGTAGCCAATCTGCAGTTTTTTGGCATGGTGTCACCAAACTAATAGCCAAAAATGAGTTTTACCTCCTGTGGGGATCCGTGGTTTACATAGAGGTAAAAGGAAAAGAGGAACAAGTTTGTTTCTCTTACTCCTCGGTAGAGTTTATGAAAGTAAGAAGTGCATCTGCATCTAAGACAAATATGGCAAAATTGTATTTTGAAGGGAGAAAAAAGAAGAACTCTTCAGAAGAAAAAAATAAAATGAAGGTATTTTGGAAGCAGCAAAGAGAAAAAAAAAAATCTCCCATGGTGACAAAAAGCCTAGAAAACCTAAAGAAATGTAAGCAGTGTAAACCCATATGCAGAGCAAAACCAGGCCAGAGCTGAGAACTTCTGAGTGACATATCTAAGGGAGCAGATTGGAAGAATCAATCTTATGAGCAGAATGAGTCAGTTACACTGTGAGAAAAGAAATTCTCGAGTCAAATTTTAAGGATATCCTTCCTAGACAAAGTTGAACCAGAAAAAACAGTCTGGAGAACCCCATAAATGTAATAAAAGAAGTGAGGGGAAGGAAGGGAGAGAAAAATGGAAAAATGAAGGGAAAGAGATGTGATCATCGTTGCAGAGGAACATAATGCATGCCTCCATATGGAGGAAAAGGACTCTGAAAAACCCATCTGTGTGTGGGAAAGCCCCTTCTGTGGGTGAACACTGACTCTACCCTGCTGCTGAAAAGTCCCTGGGACAGATGCTGCAATGTAGGGCAGGTGACTGAAAAGAAAAGTACTTGACCAATGCATTATTTCAGATTTGGCAATCCAATGCTGGTTCTGTTCCTTTCTTTCTTCAAGAGTGTCTTCTGCACCACACTGGGCTCAGTCAGGAACAGCTGGCTGAGGGCACAGGAGAGCTCCTAGTAATGCCACTTCCCTGGTTGTGTTCTTGTACAGAATGTGGGAAAGGGTTTGGAGGCAACCAGGATGCTGTGGGTGGATAGTCCTGCATTTGAGAACTTAGGGAACTAAATTTCAATAAGGAAACAGCCTCCTGGGGAACACTGTGAGGACAAATTCACAGCCATTTCATCTGCTTGTGGAAGTGAAGGGAGATGGAAAGCAGAACACAGTAGTCCTAACAGAACAGATGCAAAGAGAATGGAAAAGAGACACCAGAAGGATAACCAAAGTAAAATGAGGGAGAAAGTGGAAGCAAGGATTGGCACCACAAAAAGCACATGGATTCTGCCTCATATCTTCCTTCCCCACCCTCACCAACTCACTAATGAAGCACATTTCATTCTGATTCCTTCTTTTTTCTCCATTTCTGATACAATTATGCCATTAACCTACCAAACATTGCATGCACATGCAAAGTTAAGCCCAGCCCCAGGGAACATGCACTGTATGTTATATACATTCACTCTTCTGTGGAATGGATGGAAAAATCGGCTTACATGTTTGAAGTTCCTAAATGGCACAAACTGGACAATGTCTCGAAGCACAGGCTCGCCCTTGGGAGACCTCAAGATCCCATCATCACCATCCAGCATCTGCATGTCACTAAAATCAGCGTTCCCCACCCCCACGATGATGACTGACATGGGCAGGTGGGAGGCATGGACAATGGCCTCTCTGGTGTCGGCCATGTCTGTGATGACGCCATCCGTCAGAATCAGCAAGATGAAGTATTGCTGAAGTCGTAGGACAAGAAGAGAAACATTTTATCATTAGTTACTGTTCCCAAAGCTGCTTAACCTTGTGCAGTATAAAAATGTTTATGTTAACTCACTGATGTACCTCTGTGAGTAGAAAAGAGCCTTTAGATTGACTATAGATAGCTCTTCCTCCCCCAGCCTCCTCGGCTGCTAATTTCTTCTCTTCTGGAGTTTAGGTCTAGTTCAGGTAACTTCCAGAAGCTGGAGGCAATCAAAGGACGCCCAATGTAGAAAAGGCAGTTTATAGCTGCTGGGGCTGGGAGAGTCAGAGCTTTGGCTGGGAAGTCTGGAATAGTCCTGACATCTTCACTTGCCATATTTTCCATCTGCTGCACAATCACTTCTGCTGACAGTTTCCCATTACATTTTTTTCCCTTCGGGAACCAGTGGGAGGCAGGGAAGAATGGGGTATTGAAGCGTTACAGGCCTGTAGCAGGGCTGTCAGGAAGGTTATGACAGCACTTTGCAGAGGAGCTTTGCTAACAGGCCAGAGGGATGGGTGCAGCCGTCTAGCTGACCCACTGGTGCCTGTGGGAGAAGCACCACACCGTGGCAGGTCTGCTGCATACTGCAGAGTAATGGGGTCCCTGAGGAGAGCAAGGTGGGAATATATCCATTCTCAACCACTTCACACAGAGCCCTGAGGAGAGGTTTTCTCATTCTCTAAAGCAGAGCGAGCAATTTTGTGAGCTTGTAATTTCTTTCCCTAAACTCCAAAGCCCACTGAACTGGGATCATGGGCTATGACGTATCTTCACTTGGTAGTGGGGAAGAGTGACTCTCCCTTGGATCCTTTATGAATTGTAAGCAGATGGAGTCATTTAACAAATGTGCATTAATAGGAAAAATGAACAGGTTATAGAATTTGGTCATTCTACATGAGTGATACCAACACAATAAATGTCATTAATGTTTATGTATACACAGCTACATAAACTCAAACTGTTCTGTTCATCTCGTCCTGTCATGAATAAAACAAAACATGCAGGGAGAAAACTTAATCTTTAAGATTCATGCTATACACTGGTCTTCAGACAGAAAGAGAGGAAGCTTAGGTATAGAAGAATAAAGTAACTTATTCAATATAACATATTAGTTCAGAGGCAGCACTGGGAACAGAGTCAGCCACCTCAGCATTAGGTGAGTCTGGAAATTCAAACGTAGCAATTTCCCCACTTTAGACTGGGACCCTAAATACTATTAAGATTCTGGAAACAACAGTGGAGTAACAGTCATAGAATCATAGAATTGTTTGAGTTGAAAGGAACCTTAAAGACTATTTAGTTCCGACCTCCTTGCCATGGGCAAGGACATCTTCCACTAGACCAGGTTGCTCAGAGCTCCATCCAACCTGTCCTTGAACACTTCCAGGGATGGGGCATCCACAGTTTCTCTGGACAACCTTTTCCAGTGCCTCACCACTCTCACAGTAAATATTTTTTTCTTATATCTAATCTAAACCTACCCTCTTTCAGTTTGAAGCCGTTATCCCTTTTCCTGTCCCTACATGCTCTTGTAAATGTCAGTCACAAGCCCAGACTCATGAACAGAAATATTTGGGAACTCCTGCCTTAATAGGACTTAAAAAAAGCTCGGCACATAAAAAAATTTTGGAGAAAGCTTTAGGCCTGATGATGAGATGTATGCCAATGCACAGTTCTATTCTGTTCCTAGACATAGGCACTTTCCTTGCTGCAGTATACAAGGTCTCTCTTACATCCTTTGCTCCCCCAGCACTGTTCTTGTAAATGTTTCAGACCTACTCACTCACACATTCTCTCCAATCATCTCATTCCCTGTTTCTCCCATGCATTTCAAAGACATGCATTTAAAATATGATCTACGCCTAAGTCTTTTAGCCCAAGAAATCTGTCCTGGATTTGGTATCAGATGCAGGCTAACAGACTTGTCTCATGATTTCTAAAAAGCACAAGATACTCCAGCAGTAATAACAAGTTGAAAACCGTATCATTACAGTTTTTAAATGAATGGTTGGAAAAATACCCTAGGTGAACAGCAAAGTTTTAGTACAGCCTCTGCAAGAGATTTGAAATTGGGTAGTTTGTGTAGGGAATCATTTGAACTCATCTCTTTGTACGATCAAGACTTCTAGGGCTTAGCCCTTAAAGTTTTGTAACCTTTGTTACAAGTGCCATTTACATTTCCATAGTGAAGAACTGGGTGTGTTACAATAAAACAGCTCTAAAAGCAGGAAATAGGACCGTGGGGGAAGTTGTGACTATTGAAGCTATAAAGGCTGGATGCACTGTTACAGCTACATGTTGGAGCTGCCTTTCTATGAGGGCACTTTGTAAAAACTGCGAAGGCATGAACTGCATACATGAAAAGGCCTTGTTTTGATGGCCTATAAGAGATCCATCACAAGACAAGAGAAAAAGGCAAACACAGCATTCTTCCCTTACCGAGGCCTCCTTGGTGTTGGTCTCCTCTGATGCTGATTTTGCCACTTTCTGGATGATGGGAGCAATGTTTGTTGGCCCATACAGCTGCAGCTTGGGGAGGCAGCTCTGATAAGCCTCCACAACACCTTGTATTCCTGGCATGAAAAGCCACACAAAACAAAAGTAAGTGGTGGACCACACTGCCAACTTCATGCTTGTTTAAAATGTAAATGAAAGGCAGGTTCTTAATGAATAAATTAAAAGTATCACATGATTAGCAAAGACTAGCAACTTCAGATAATTTCCAAGAAGCTGTCTCTAGCTTTCTTGAATCTAGTTTGTATTATATAAGTCATTATACCATGCCTCTCCTTCCCAGTAGTTTTTAATGTCTATTTTCCAGGTATCACCTTGCAATACCATAGCTTCCATTCATCTCAGTTCAAGATGTGAGCGATCAGTTTCTGATCACCAGCTAAGATTTATGCTGAAAAGTAGACACAAATTAAAGAAACACTTCAACACTTCTCTCTCCTCTTCAGATAAGTATTTTTGTTTATCATGGTAGTTGCCAACCAATTTGCCCTCTGTACTTACATCCTAAATCTGTTAAGGAATTCAGACATAATTTCAAATACCTGACTCCTCTGTGCTAAGAAAATTTTTCAGGGTGCATTTGCATAATTGCTCAGGTTGAATTTGACTATGACCAAAAGCTGTGAAATCTTGCAGGAAACAGCAGGATGCTTTGCAGTCTACAGAAAAATGAGCTTTAGTTGGGAAGTTTTGATGGAGAGCCAGCTATTTTTGCCTTTATCATTTCAGGATAGAGTCAGCTCAGGAAGCACAGACTCCTGCTGACACACTTGACAGATCACAGAATGGAAATTGGTGTTTTCAATCATTGAGAAGAAGGATTTCTTCAAGTGATGCCTGTTAGCCTCCACATTCAGAACTCACAGTTTACCAGACCTAACGGATTAGAGGTCTAAAGTTGGAAAGAAAGTGATAGACTGAGGAGCTTCATTGAGAATGCTGAAGAATGAAATGACTTTACTAAGATCCTAAGCTAGTTTCAGTTTGCACTGGGACTAGCTCACTCATGAGATTTTACCCAGCCATGTTTTCAGGATGTATGGCTGCAGACTGGTTACTGAGAAATCACAGGGAGCTATAATTGTTTTACAGGGATACACTTAAACCTCCCATGAAAAAAAATGGTGGAGAATACAGTCTGATCACTCTATAGATAGCTACAGACATATTTTTGCATTGCAGTGCCAACAGACAAAAGAACTTGCTCCAGTTATAGCTGTGATTGGTTAAAATGTAAAGAAATGTTACGAAATTTCCCTTGGCAATTCCAGTGACTAAATTACATATTACAAAACTGACCTTTTTTGTAAACTCCCCATCTTAAACTTGCCAAGGATTTCTTTACATATGCTTACTGATCTTGCATGAAGGCCTCATAAATCTTCCCTAAATTGATGACAGGACACACTGTAGTTTTTTTCTAACACATTAAAACAGTACAAGATAAGCCTTATTCCCCGCATTCAACACAGATTTAGCATAATTCATGTCAGAAAGTTGCTCTCATCTTAGAAAAAAACGTGTTCTAGAAATATAATTTCTTATTTGCTATCTCTGATTAATATATTTTAGAATTATCTACTGTCCATCCAATCCCAACCCAACAGGCTATTTGAGTGGATTACTTTGTAGCTTACTCCTCTTTTACTCCTTTATTTTAGACACAGTCAATATGCATTTTTTTTCATAATTCAACCCTTTACATTTCTATTTGGAATCCACTTTCAATAGCTCCAATGTAACACAGTCTATGCATATAATTATCAGTTTTAGATGGATGTATAGGAGCATTCACTGAGATAAGAGGTTGTCACCTAATGTCTTCCTCAGACATTAAACAAAACATTACTTATAAGACTATAAAAATAATATGCTATAAATATACTAAATATAAGCTATAAATACTAAAATTTTCAAGAATGGAAGTGTTAACAGAGGAGGAAAAGGTGAGGATCTTCATATCAATACACAGTCCTTGTATGCAGAATGATGTTTCACACTACCTTATGCCAGCAAAAGTTCTACTTCCACAAAGAAAGGGACTTCATTTCTCAAAGGCAAAATAGACACATACTTTTTATATTTCATCCAACTGCTTTTCTTGGTATAAAACAAGATACTCTTCAGCAATTTTCCTTTGCTTTCTGGCAAATATGCTAAATATCACAAGGAAAAATAGTGTAGTCACTAGGCACCTTATCTCCCTCTCACTCTTGCATCGTTTCTTCACATGACATGCTGGTGTTACTGCTCCCTGTGTCACCTAATACAGTGAGAGCATCTAGAAAACATCACAGAACAATTGCTGGTAGGAACTAATCAAGCATCCACGACAGGCAGATGAGCAAGCTGCAGCAGATGATTAAACAACATATTTTCTGGTCTGTCTCCTTTTCTTGCTTTCACCCAGATGGATATTATTTAAAAACATATCATTTATGACAAAGAAGTGCTTTTTATATCTTGCAGATAAATGTGCAAATGCTGCAAAATTTCTTCCCTGGCCTTCTGGTTGGGCTGCAACCATCTTTTTATGTTTTATTTCTTAGGCCTAGAACCCCTTTCAGGCAATGGGTTAACTTATAATGGAATCTTATGCAAAGAACTAAATAAAGTTTAAATGTGTAACAAATATTGTGACATAAGCCAAGCCTCACAGAGCAGCTCCTCCCTTTTCTTTAAATCCCATTTAATTTCCACTGTTACATTTTATTTTGCGTACAGAGTGTGGTTTGGATAATAAATGCTTAACTTGCAGAGGGTTTGTCTGTCCAAACTGATCAGCTGCTGGCATTACACAGATGTGAAAGCCTTTTCAATCAATAAAAATCGTTATATGATTTTTGATATGATTAATGATATATCATTAATGCCAATGTGATAAAAGAATTAGCCTTAGACTCAAAAGAGACAGCAAAGGGGGGGGATAAAAAAAGTCTTCTCTGCATGGACTGCTAGAGCTTTTATCTGAAGTATGCAGAGTGTCATAAATAGCCCACATTTAGATTGGGAAACAAAGCTGTATTTGAACACTACCTGCATAAATATGCCATCATCTGATGCTGACCACTGTTAACTGTTATCATAACACATTATTAAATATGGTGGTCCAGACAAAATTCTGAGCTCTGTTTTGCTTTCCCCACCCCATCTCCACCCCATCAGTGTGACTAAAGTCTCAACCTTAGCTGGCTCACAAGCTTACAGGCACTTCTAAATGCATCTTTGTAACTTCTGCTTCTTTGAACTCCTTAAATGCAATGTAAGAAGCTGTGTGAACACATCAAGCAGTTGTAGGACTTATGCCCCCATTACATTTCAAGCACAGGACCAACAGAGGCTGGGGCACTCCAACAATCCAAGAGCAACAGTAAAGCAGGAATGGCCACTGAACCAAAAGCAGAGGTCCTGCATTTAAGATGCATGAACTCTGAATTCTTTTAATGTATCTTTCCCTTGAATTGCTTGTCCTCTCATCTTTTCCTCACTTCATTTCTTTGCATCTTAATTCTCATCCTGAACATATTCTGCTGACCGTGCCTGAAAGAAAGACACTAGTAAGCCTGAGAATTTGAACAGGAGGAGCATTTTGAAAGACCGATTCAGTATTTAGGTGGAAGCAGAAGGAAACGGGAGAATAACAAACTGATTTTTAGACAGCAATGATCATCTGACCAAGACTCTCAACTGTTATTCTGTTTGGAGATTATTTTCCTGTTACTGTCTTTTACAAAAACAGCCTCAGTCACTGCAGACCTCACAAATACAAAGCATACAGCCGCATCTTCTCCATGAATCTGGCCTCTGACTACAGAGGATTAGGAGTTGTTGCTACAATACCTTACACTGTGCTAAAACAGCCTCCTGCTGCATTTGCAGCATTTTTCCTTCTACCACAGTAGTCCTCACCTACTTCCCTGACCCTTTGGTGTTGGACACTGCTGGGCTGACAAGCAGCAGGCTACTGCTGGCCAAAGAACTGGCTCTAAACCAAGGGAATCTTTGATCACAGAGGTTCACAGCCTGCTTCTTCATGTCCTGCCCTTCTTAGCTGCTCAAACTATGATGCTGATCTAGCTGAAGATCTTGAATGAATTCAGAAGACACAGCTTTAGTTTTCAGAAATGCTAGTGATTTTGCGAAGTGCAAGTGCTGAATGTCCACCATGGTGTACTTTCAAAGGGAGCTACTTTTCAGGAAATTACTGTATGGCACTTTCTAAGGTTTCTAAAGTTAAGCTTGAAGGCCTGGAGCCTGTCAGGTCTCAAATCCTAGCTACTTTCTTTAAAAGATCACCTTGAATAATACTCAGGTGATACAACAAAACACACAATCTCATTTTGCACACAGCAAAAATACAGCCGTTTGTCCTAATATGAGCTTTACCTGCACATTCTGGGTTGTCTTCGTTGAAATTGATTGCAAAGTCATGAGAGACCTGCAGATACATGGAAAGAAGAGAAGGAGACTGTATTCAGAAAAATTATTGCGTGGAGACTTGTGGTTAAACACCCTTTACATTTTTTTCTGTGTTAAACTTGCGATCTTTCAAGCTTTCAGCCATTGAGTGTGAAATACAGTCCCAGCTGGAACTCCCTGCAGAAACAAAGTAGCAAAACTGGAGACAAACATGTCAATAACAACAACAACAACAAAACAACCAAGAAAAAACAGCCCAAATAAAAACTGCCCAAGTACATGATAAATCACATGGTGTCAGAATTGGACTGTCAATGCCAGGCACAGAAGAGGCATCTATTGCTGAGACAATTTAAATGCCAGCTTTCCCTAGCTCAGCATCTCAAACTGTAGGAGAGACAAAGCAGGTTGTGATACAGCATTGACAGCAGAAACCCAGCTCACTTCTGCATTCTGTCCTCACAGGTGCAAACAGTTCCTCATTTAAGGCCACGGGAGTACTGGGAAAGTAATTCTCCAGGGATATCAAGGAAATCACCTAGATCCACTGTGAAATAATAGCATAAGAAATACAAGGAGTCTAAGCTGGCTAAGAAATTAGATTACTTTGGGGGAAAATAAGTAAGAAAAAAACCCGAAGACTCTTGTTTTTTCTCAAATTTTGTGAATATTCCAGTCTCTCTCTCTCACAATCTGTCTATAACAAAACACTACAGAGCTGTTTTTCAAAAGAAATGACTGTGAATACAAAAATTACTTGTTTTCTAATAAAACAACGTGTTGTGTCTTTACTGCTCTGGGAAAATAATATAAGACTTCTGCATGTTTCAATAATGCAAGGCACTATAAGTCTCAGGTTACAGATTTCCTCTGTCTATCAGACTCACAGTACAAATCTTTTGAGACTGAAACTTTCTTCAGATGCTCTTTTCTGGTTTTAAAGTTTATTCTTGCCTGCATTTTTTTCTGAGATTTCTTTTTGCCTCTTTCTTTGATCACTGAGAAGGTCTGATTCCTTTTAATCCCTTGGGCTCTGAAGCGCAGTCTCTTTTCTGTTTGTCTTAGATTTTCTTGAATGAAGAAGCCCAAATTTTTGGGTGAATATAGATCTATATATATTTGGTGAATATATATTCAATGTGTGAAAATATATATATATATTTATATTTGGCTTCCAAAAAGTGGATATGGCTTGGAGTTTTACAGACAGTTGGTATAATTTGAAGTTAGGCATATCACCCCAGACATAAAGAAGGCATTTACATAGCTAACTGGAATTGCACATATTTAAAGCTTTATAGATCCTGTAGGACCTTCAAAAGTGCCAGCAATCCTAGTGATGTGGAAAGCAATTTTACTCTCTGTACAATGGAACCTGGATTATTGGAAGGAGATTTATTTCTTGGATGCTGCTATTTCGTTTGTTAGTTTACATGACTTGAACACACAGTTTGGAAAGGGATCTATGACTAAGAGGCCTAAAGATCAAGTATGTGATTACAGCGAAGCTTCTGTGAAACTGAAGTGGTACAAGTTGGCTAATTAAGAGTTTCTCACAGAGAAACTGAGTTTCCCCATCATATCCTGGCCTTTCTCATCACAGTGATGCCTGCCATTATTGAGGGGTTAAACATGGCAGTACATCTACCATGATGGGAAAGGACTGAAGCAAAAACTAAGAAGTCTGTAGCCACCTCAGCCCAACAAGAAATTCAGTGTTCCTATATCAAGCATCAGTTGACTCTTAAAGAGGATTTTACGTGGACCATTCAGGCTACCCCATTTGGCCGTGGAAGATGAAAGTCACTATTTATGTTCCTCATTGAGCAGGCACAGAAGATCAGGGTTGCCAGATACACTTCAGAGGTGCTCCAGAACCCTTCTGTCTGGCTGCTCTGGATGTCTCCTCGCATGCTTTGCCCAGCTGGTATCTGCCAGTCTCATGACCATCTGCAGGCCAAAGGTAATTGTAGCTGTCAAGAATTGTTATGTGAGCTTTCACTCACTGATATTTTTTGTTGTTCAGTAGTCTTTCTTCTTCCTTTAGGCTTTCTGTACTTTGTATTAACTGCATCTCAAAAGCAAGAAAGATAGCAATGCATGTGTGCAGGCTGATTTTTCCAACACTGTTCTTCTTCAGTGATTTTATCTTTTTAATTCCAAATGCATTTGAAATTATACCTAAAGGAGAACCACAGTTCTCTTCCAAGACTATGAATACAGTGTTTTAATCTCACATGCAAGCTTGGATGGTTTGTGTGCTTTTGTTGCCATACCTCTTTCAGGATCACATAATGCAAACAATTTATCTGGTTCAGAGCTATAGCACCCAGGCTATTATTTAAAGAAAAATGTAGACAATGGTTCAACCCAATAAGAAGAGCCCAAGTCTAGTCAGTGTGTGCAATGATCCAAAAAATAATACTGTCTGAGCAACTGCTGGGCTGCTATCCTCCTAAAGCAAGTGGCCCTCATACACTGTCATTGGGATTCACCAAGAACAGGGTTAAAAGGTACCCTGAAGGCAGGACCGAAACACAACAAACGTGCAGAAGCATTAGCTCATTTCCTAAGCTATCTGAGCAATATATCACAATTTAAACAAGATTTTAGTATAATGGGAAGGATAGAAGTTCTTCGAGCAGCTCAGTGATGGTTCACGCACAGGAAATGATCACTTGAGGCAAGGTAACAGCAGATATTTTTAAAACAGAGTTTCTCCAAATGCTTAAAACTCATTCCTTACTCTGGTAAGTAAAACCAACTGTGCTTCAACCTGCCTCTGTTCTATCTCCCCTGTCATGGCCAGAATTCAAGAGGGTCTAAACCAGCACAGACTTCAGGCACACAATGTACTGAAGGCCTCACTGAACTCAGGCTGCTACCTGGTAGGACTCCATGTAAAGCTCACCCAAGTAAGAAGATGGTTTCTTCTATTTTTTTTTTTTTTTTTTTTAAATTAAATATGCAAGGGCTATGTGACTGAAAGGCAAACCATGCTTATGAAAGAGGACCAAAAGCTGGTGTATGCTAAATGGCATCTCTCTGATATGGAATGGCACAGCCCTTATGCACTCCCAGAACTGATAAACTAATGGGAAAAAGAAGGCAAAAGTGTGAACACCTAAGATGCTGAAGACTGGGAAATCCTTGTGGGGAACAACAAGGCACTTGGCTGTTTAGAAGCAGGCATGTCTATATAATTCACTAGGGTGGTTTGTATTATGGGTCAATCTAACAGTCAGGAAATCCCGGAATACGTCAAATCACACAAATATAGAATGACTGTTTCATATTAGTACCTGGCACAGAGAATTTTGCAAAGAACTGCAGACCATGGTCTGTGGTAGAAGTCAGCCTCATGATAAAGAACATCCTCACAAAACCTTGAGTGTGTCACAGACCCTGGACTAAGTTTCAAGTATGTAGCTCATGCTCTGCTCAGCCCTCCTCCCTTAACATCAGTCCATAAAATCAATCCATAAAAGGGAAGGAGAGAGAAATTCTGGCATGCAGAGGTGATTACATGTGATCAGCCTGGCGTTACCTGGGCTGCTGCACAAAACAGCACTCAAAACCTCTAAGCAAAGCCATTTACTTGCACTTGGCTGTGTATTAATCTTTTCCCTCTGCAGGGCTCCAGATACATTATTCAGCAGGTACCATCATGGATGTGGGATTATTAAAGCACAGCTGTCCAGGAACTTCCTGCACCAAGAACATATTAATTTTCAGGTAATTCCTTCAAGGTTTTTAACAAGCAAAATAAGTAGCTCTACCATACATTAAGATGGAGATTACAGTGACAGCACTTCTGAGGATGTGACAACTAAATAAACGGTCTAAAATATTTTTGCTAAGGTGGATTACGGAATTGTTCTTTTACCATGGTATGATGCCTCTATTGTCTGTACTGAAAAGCACCTGCAGTTTTCCATCAATGTGATGGCACCCATGAGACTCTTGGAAGAATCATAACCATAGTTCCACAGCCTTATGACCATTTTAGTAGAGAAATCACCTTGATTTACCATAGCAAGTAACTCATTTCCCTCATATTGGGATGCAATGAAATTCACCCTCATAGCATGGCCCTTCCTAAAAAGGTTTCTAATTAAAGCTGAAAGGAAAGAAGAATTTCCTAATTAAAGAGAATTTTTGAGATTTCCTAAAAAAAAAGTCTTCTGGTCTCAGGTAAAAACCTCAAAACTCAAGCAAAAACCCTATTTTGGAATCTGACAAATAATAACCCCCCCAAAATTCATAATGCAAATTGCTGGCAAGCTTCTGGACTAAGGAAAATAATTTTATTTAAATTTTATTGAAACTTGTTATTCTGCTTTGGCCTCCACATTTTTATAAACCTCTTTATTCCAACTGAATCAATTTTTAAAGTAAAAAGCTACATTTTTAATTTATTTTCCAAGTGCTGAATATGGATGCCTGAATTCTGAAAATTCGTAATCCTTTTTCTTCCTCTCTAGATTGTTGAATTCATTTAAATCAACATCCCTGTCCCAAATATCTCCAGCTTTCCAGAAACCTCTATGGTGATGGTACTAGAACTACTTGACAAACAACCTGACAAATTCAAACACATTAAGGAATGCTTTCTTAATAATTTAAATAGAGATTGTCAAAAATCCATGAACAATAGATGCACATAAGCGTAAAGGGCAAGATGCACAATGTTGAGCAGTTTTCTGTGAATAAATTGGACATTCTTAAGACACTGCCAGTCTGAAAATTAAATTTGGAATGCCTGCATATTCTGCAAAAGACACTAACAAATTTAAAAAACTATTGCTCAAAAGCTATTATTTTCAGAACGCTCATTAATCAAACAGTTTGGGAGCTGGACAGCTCATGTCTCTTGCTAAGATCACACTGTAGAAATTTCTGCTTGGCAAAACTGGGCCATTTATTTTCCTTTGTGATTGATTTTTGAGCATGCTGCCTAATTTTCATGTCCAAATCCAAGTTGTGTGGATAAGGTGAAAAATTGTGGCTTTCCCCTTAGTCTGTTACACATCCTTCTATTGTTTCTTTTTTGTCAGGTTTGCCTACATTTTTGCCTTCAAGCTCCTGAAAAGTTCAGGAATCACAAAGGCCACAGCACCTTTCAAGTCCCTTATCTGTCCAGCAAACCAGACAGTGCAGTTTAGGGTTGTAAAGATGCTGTACTGTAGTGAAGTCCTCTCCACCACAGATTCACAGGATAAGCAGTGAACGAAGCTTTCACTAAAAAGGCAGAAATAATGAGGATTGTCTTAAAACAAACTGCAAATTATTTAGTACTTACTCAGGTGTCAGTCTGCAATTCTTCTTTAGGAAAGAGGCCTTCATCATCATTGGCAATATGCCTATCATGGAGTTGACACAACTGGAACTTTCTTTTCATTTTGGCAGTGAGTTTTGTGATGCTAAGTGGTTTTTCAGCTCTTTTTGAGTTCTGCCTGCTAAAAAGTTAGTGCTTAGCTTTCTTTCCTCCTCTTCACTGTGACCTTTCACAGCAGTGTCTGAGTCCACATTATCTACCACCTCTTCACTTTACATCAGACTTCTCAGATGCTTCTTCTCATTGCAAAAAAAAAAAAAACCCAAACAAACAAACAACAAAAAACCTGGATAGGTTGTAGACACTGCTGTGGAATAACTGGCATGTTTTAAGCGTGGAATATTTCTCTCACAGGTTTACTTAAATGAAGGAGCTGGGGGACGTTTGTTAGGCCTTGGGGGAAAGAGATCATATTGCTGAATATTAGATGAAAGATCTCTAGACTGATGAGGAATGATATATATGGCATGTCTTGCTTCCTTCACTCCCACAGATTCCTTATGCCACTAAGACTCTGCTGGTTTTCTTCTAACAGCTGAAGCGTGTCATTTGGAGCTCAAATGAGGGAAAATGAAGTCAATACAACAAAATTCTCTAGAAAACATATATAAAAACATGATTTAAAGGTGTACAACCTCAAGAGATTTATTAATAGCCTGTAGAGGTGGATACTGACGTTGCTCATGAAGAAGCTTTGTTGTTTAGGTTGTATGGAGGCTCTTTTGGTTACGTAGGAACCCATGGCAGTGGGAATATGTTCTTCAACAGCCCTAACAATGTGTTGTCTACTGGAAGAAATAAAAGACCCGATACTGGAGTGCAGAGATAAATGTGCTATGAGCACTAGGGCTGGAGGCTCAAAAGCAGACACAAAATTAATGAAAAGCTGATTTATCCCCATGGTGGGGTCAGAACTTAGAAGTTCTCATAATGATTCAACCTAAATTTGAAGATGTAAATTATTACAGTAATAACACTGCTCTCCTCTAATGAAATAAAAGATATGTATGACTTGTAATACCTGTAACTGAAAATAGGAAAAGAACATTTGAATAGCATGAGATCTGCAGTGTTGCTGCTGTGTCTACAGTTTTATCATATTTTTGCAACAGGAGAACCTAAGGAAGAAACCTGTGAGCACTTTTTTCTACAGTCTTTATTACTTTTAATTATATCAGTTTCTTCTCTGTTTCCTATGCATCTTTGCTGTCCTCCACATCAAACACTTATCATTGGTGGCTTTGAATTAACTTTATAACAGTGTAGACTAAATTACTGAAGGATTTTCAGGTTTATTTGTCTTGACTTATTAATGCATCACGATGAGGCTGACTCTTCACTCTTAAGAGAATTTATTTTTCAGTTCAGAAGTGCAGTCTAAGACAAGCAGGGACTCAAAAGTGTTGACGGAGTTTATTTTAAGAAACTAGAATTTTATGGACTTTTATGGCCTGTGTAGAATATCACAGGGAGGGGCTGAAAAATAGCACAGATGACTGTTAATTCCTCATCCAGTTCCAGTTGGATGTGCCCATGACAGACACCAAGCTGATTATTTGTCCCCATCTGTTGCACAGAAGGGCTAGTCCCCTGCAATGTGGTTCTTGTCTTCTTCAACATTGTATTATGTTGGTAAGCTGATGTCATGTCATTTTGTCTTTGTCATTTTCTGTCACGAGTTTCCATAGAAGAGATTAAAGATGTTTTGGCCTTCATTTGCATCTCCATTTTCTGTGGGACTCATATATGCAATCCATAAGCAAGTAGCCCCATTTTCTGAAGTTTACCCTTACTTTTCCTGAACTTTTCAAAATCCGAAGGGCCTGAGTCATCCATTTTCTTGCTTTGAGAGGTTAGTTATATAGAGACTCTTTAGGACAGCTTGTGCTGTGGGGTAAGACTCTTCATTCATGCGTGGACTACTAAGTTCAGTGCAAGTCTCTGACTTTCTTAAGGATATTTGTCAGGAAATTGTACGAGCACCAATTCTGCCAAAGCAGAACATCATTTGGTGTTGGTGATTATATGAATATCTGGTTACAAAGACTCCTGCAGTTAATTTTCTGGCAAGATGTCTGTTTTCCAGCTAACACTTAGGATATGCTCTCACAGTCAGGTGAGGAAGCTGTGGCCAAGCTCTAACAAAACTGGTACATTGCCAATATGCTTGTGTGACCTGAGGCATCAATGGCACCAACCGATTATTTTGGCTGAGAAGGGCAATTTTGTGCTGTGGAATTTACTATACTTCCATCCCCAGTAAACCAGTGAAAAGACTTCAGCTGGCACAGTAACACCTTCCTTCAAGCAGTCCTTAGATAAGGATGTCTCTCTACGGATGAAAGAATCGCAAGTTTTCCTCCATGCAATGATGGTCACATCGCAGAGGATGGAAAAACCAGCCCCAGGCACAACACCAGGCCGGTACCTTTGTTTAGGACAAACACAACAGCACATGTGGCATTGTCAAAGGAGGCCAGTACTGGGCTGAAAGAGCTGTGGTGTTGTGACGCATAGCCCAACTCAGTCAACTCTGCTATTCAGTCACAGGCAGGGGATGCACATATTCATGGTAAAGGGATGGCAGCTTGAGAAGTAGCTGCTGTGTTTCACTAAGGTGTCTGGTGGCCTGATTATGTGTATTCTCCAAAACATTCTCCCTTACAGGATGGTTGTCAGCTGCTGCAGCTGGAACAGAGATACAACAGACACAGATGTTCTGTGTGCATATACCACACTAAAATCTATGTCACGGTTCTGGAAGCTGTCTCTGCCCGGTGTTACTTTTGAAGAACACAGCAAGGCAAAAAAACCTTGTCAAGCACAAACAAGCTTAGAAAGGAATGCTCTAAAGAAATACGTTAACTTACCTTAGATGTCTGTTTGCAAGAGATAGCGAATTTGCTGTACATCACTGCTGTAATTCTTCTGCAGGTATCAAACCTACAAGCTGTGAGTAACACACTGGTGCATTTTTTTTTCATCTGCTGATTCATGCTGAGTGACACATGATCCCTCTCTGTACAGAAAGTCTCACCTGGCTAGTGTTCACCTGCCTGCTCCAACCACAGCTGAGACACAAGTCAGAGCAGGGCACATGGGAGGGAATACTGGATGAAGTCTGGATGATCAGAAGTCTAATGCTTTTCTTTTCTAGATAGTATATGAGTTACAGAATCCCCACCTATGCAGAGCTACTCTTGTGCCCTCTTCTCCATGTGCAACATAGGATTTGAACTTCTACCTGTCTCTTCTTAGGCCTTTCTCTTTTGGATGCCCCTTCTTTTACTTCGCTGTCTTCACTCCAGCCCTACCAGACTGTATATTTATGCTCACAGTTGAACCATCACTGTGGATCACTCTCATTTTGTTTTGTTTACAAATATCACTTCTCTCCAGCAAGCATGCATGCTCTTGCATTTCTCTTTCTGGCATTAATGATGCCCACCACGACATAGAAATGTGCCACACAGCAAAACTCTTCTAAAATATTTATTTTCAGGAGGATGTTAAATCTCTTCCTCACAAAGCATAAACACTAGGCTGCTCACTGAATCACATCTTCCAAAAATGGGTTCTGTCAAACCAGGGCTTGCAAAGCTTCAAAATACGTTTGACAGGGGTTGTTAAAAAGAGAAGTTCTTCTCTTACTAGACTTGCATCCACTAACAAAGCTTTGCCAATACCATGAAATATTTCGGGTGTTTAACAACTATTTTGAGCCTTGCCTTGACTTCTGGTTTCAGTGAGATATCAATGGATGAGAAAGCCAGATGAAAGAAAATGGCAGGAACTGCTTTCCCTTGTCCCTGACCTGCACTGAGCCATTTCTCCCTTATTTTGTGCCTCATAAACCAAGGAAACTAGAAAATTACATTTATGCACCTACTTTGTATTCTGGGGGTATTCTTGCTCCAAATCCGAAGGCTGGGAACATTTTGTCACTGGAAAAGAATAAAAAAATTAGGGTACCCATAGAGAAATGAATATTGTTAAAATAAACATTTATTCCTCTGCAAGCTTTCATCAGAAATGCAAAGCACCACAACAGTACATAAATAGTTTTTAAGTCAAGAGATGGCAGACTGGAAGAGTAATGGATTAGAGCAGTAGAGCTGTGTGCTGAACAGATGGGGGAGTGATTTGGGAGATTTTTCAGGTGAACCCTTAGTATTTTTTGGAAGTTAAAATCATTTTGAGAATCCCAAGGGATCAGGATGTTTTTGCACTTCTCCCACAAAGGCAGTAACAGGTCTTTATTACCCACTCTTTTGCATTACCTGGCTTTAGAAAGAGAGTCTGTTGTCTGAACAGCCTGTAAAAACATTTATTTCATATTAATATGGATGTGCTCCCCCAGCTCAGAGAATGGGTCTAGTGAAGAGATGACTCTGATTAAAAGTGTTTGCAAAGTTGGATTCTTACAGCTGTCCAGTTGACAAAAGAGACGTCCAAAAATGTCTGAAAGGGGCAATTTCACGCTCTCAAACCTGCAGGCTCTGTGAAGTTTTTCACCTGTCTTTTACTGTTCCACTAAAACATAAATTATTTTACTTAGGCATAGATTGACTGATAACCTAGCAAAATGCTGTGGCATGGCCAGTTTGCTTTCAGATAGCGCATTGAGGTTATTCTACCCCAGTTAGATCTGCAGAGACAAAAATACCTTATTCAGAGAACCTGGAAACTTCCAGGCTGTTGTTAATACCCTTTCAGAAATGCAATGTCTCACACAGCCCACGTCCTGTCAAGCTGCCTCTTCCCAGATGGCAAAGTGGAAAACAACAAGCTGCAAGGGATGTCTGGTCCCTGAGTCAGCAAAGCACTTGATCACACACTTGAGGTTAACAATTCACCCAAACATATGCTTAACTCCAGACACATCCTGAAGTCCCACTGAAGTCAGTGAACTGTACTCCAGTGCTCTGATGAATCAAGCCCCTCAGAGGTTTATCCCAGTCTGCTTATTGGGTTTGAAGGCCCTTGGAAAAGTTGAGTTCCAACTGCCATTACCACCTCTTGGGAAAATTCCCAAGAGAGGCTATTGTGTAGTTCAAGACAAGGCCACTCCAAGTATCAATTGAATAATTCACATCCCAGACATACTCAAAGAAGGTAATAGAATGCATTAAATTAGCTTGGTTGTTCTGTCTGGCATAGGCTGTTGAAGGTACCATGATATTTCTGATATAAGCTAAAGAAAAATGGAAGGGTTCAAAAGAAAGCAGAACTAAGTGTGTGTGTGTCTCCCCACTGAAGTTAGAGTAACCATGAGATACAGAAATATTCACCATCTCATTGGGAAACAGTGATGACAGTTATCTGATGGTTTAGCTCTCAGAATTGTTGTTCTTGTTACAAAAATGTAGTTGCTGCATAAATCTTGGGAGCACAGTTCTGTGTACCATATGTTACACCGTGTGACAATGGATCTTGGAAAGGAAGACTAACATCATTTGCATGGTAATGAAACATTTTTTTCCCAAGAGATGTCAGAAAAGAAGTAGCTGCTGACATTTGATGCTAACCACCTGCTGATAGCATTCTCCCTGATTAAACACTCCTGGAAGCGGGGAAGCCCTTATAAATAGATGCAGAGAATTCAGGCACACACTTAGAGGGCAAGAAATAAGAAGCCATTAGAAAAGAATCTAAGGGGAGAAAAAAATCTTGGTTTGCATCAATGGTTGAGCATGGCTGGATTAGAAAATCAAATGCTGCGGAGCTGCAGTTAATTGACTTAGGGCAAAAGCAAACAAAGACTAAAAAAGAATTTTACTTAGGTAGAACCTAACTGTTTAAGTTCAATAAAGCAAATGCTTTAGCAAAAAGCTGATGCTGGCAGCAGTTACACAACTGGGGAGATGCCTAAACCCATATAGTGCCTGCACTTCTACTGCAGTTTCTTGTGTACACATGTACAGGCACTCCTATCTGTGGCTCCATCTTCCCTGCAGCAATTCAGAGACAGCAATAAATGATATCTCCAAGCAGCCTGGATTCTCCTTCTGGTGGCAAGACTCCCATGTTCCCAGTGACACAGTGGCACAGCCCCACTGTTATTTTGCACCCAGAATACCTTACCTCCACAGTCAGGACACTTGCCTTTATGTTTGAATCTCCCATGTCTCCCTTTTGAACAAGTGCTGGTTATCACAATCATTGCCTTGTGAAACAGTAAAGCTTGATCATGCACACCATCAAAATGGGGTTCCACATAGCTGCTTTTCAGAGGGAAGTACATGAACTCTGGAGAGGAGGGGTATCCTCAGGTCTGCTCCTGTGCTTGGTACTTTCTGTTGCCTCACTTAAAATGGCTCCATGTTCTCCTTAGGAAGCTCCTAAATTTCCCAGATTTAGGTACATACCTTTGGTAATCTGATTCAAGCTGCTGGGACCAAGGAATTAACTTTCATGTGCTCCCAGAGCTTGATCTTTAAGGTTAGAAGGTAAGACCTTTTGACACTCATGACACCCCTTGCATAAAAAAATCACGATGTTATTCCTGGACCACACCTCAAAATTTGCAGCTTTCAGAGAAAGAATAAAATTTTAGTGTATGCAAAACTTTTCCTTCTATCACCCAAAACAAAGTGTTTAGCTAACATAAAGGTCTCGCTCTTCAGTAATGTAACACTTTAAGGCTTAGTGATATTTTACAAAATAACCTCCTCTTAATCTTCCCATCCACCCCTCACCTTATCATATGAGAAACAACCCAGCAGCTGAGCCTGCTGCCCTCACCCTGCTTGTCCTGCACTGCTGAGACACAGCAAGGAAAAAGTGACCCAGAGGGGCAGACAAGGGCTCTTTGACTTCTAGAACAGTCCTTTATGGTATGGAGATGTGACAGAGCTGCTGTAACAAGGCTATCACGGCAGTGTGCAGCAGAAAGCAAAGCAGTTGCCCAGCTTCTGGAATCTGTGTCAAGGGTTAGGCCATCCAAGAACTGAAACTACAGTCAGAAAATGAAGTTTTCCTCCTGCCTCAAGGGTGAATTGCATGCATCAGAGACTCCTAGCCTGGCACTTCAGTAGGAAAGGGGTCTGCTCTAATGACTTTTCTTCCTTTGTAATTTAAACTCACTCAAAAGCAGAAAAGTGAGAACCAGTTTTCTTTTTCCTTTGTATGGCTAGCTCAGGCATTTGGGCTTCATCTACAGTAGGAAATAGCCCTGGGACCCTGGCTGAAGTACCATGAGGGCCATAGACACGGTCTGCTAGCACTGTCCCTGGTGCAACCAGCAGCCCCAGAGACTGCCCAGGGACGGCGCTGGGACCAGCTGTGCTGGAGTCTGCTCTCAAATGCAGTTTGGGCATCACCAGTTTGTGCTGAGAGGAAGAAAAAAGAGACACAAGGACATGGGCAGTGCCATGCCCTTGGCCTTAGGTCATCTCAGGATCTTTGACTTGTTTTGTTCAAAGTTAGCCAGAGAGTCCTTGGCCCACGCAAGGAAACTGCCTGCACTGGCCTGCTGGAGGCAGATTGCTAAAGGGACAGAACAGGAGAGAAACACAGAAGTGGAAAAACAAGCTGGTTCTATAGAAGCTGAAAGTTACAAATTCCAGAAAGAAAAAGAGGATTGTGACTAGGCAGAATCTTTACAAAATTACTCTGTTACATCTACTTCACATTTTATATTGTTCTTTGTTTTACAAAGGTTCCCTTGAAAATTTAAACCTGGAATAATTTTCAAAAAGATGAAGTGCTTGACATGAAGACCAAAAAAGCAAAAGCGTCAAACTCTGACTTTTACACCTGGTTATATAAGAGCCATGGGTAGTCATGCAAGCATAGATGTACATGGCTTCTGGTACTTCTTCCAGTCAGACAGACATATATTCCTGAAAGATACCTAAGATTGAGCAGATCTATGTTACACCCTAAAGGAAAAATCAGGGAGAGAGTTCTGGTTCAGTCTTCACGTTGATAAATGTGAATTAATGCACACAGAAATGAATTGTCAGGACTCCAAGATTGCAGTCTTCTGAACAGAAATACGACCAGTTAGAAAAAAAATTCCTCAGTAACCTCAACTATAACATAGCACATAGCAGAAAATGATTTCTGAAAATATCCCATATTATCCCTTTGGGACATTGCTCAGTTATAGTCACCCATCCTTCAAGCTATCTAGTGGAAACACAGGAAGCACAATGACAAATCAATACACTGATAGGGGCAGAGACAAGTGAGCTGTACTGCACATACAGGAAAAAAGATGAATAGAGGAAATACTAAGGTTTTTTAAATTGGTAAAAGTGATACAGATAATGATACCATTTTCTGTTTCACTAGGAAGCATAGTGTCACTGAAAGGTAAGAAATATGTTTATAATAAAGGTAACAAGGCAAAATAAAGAACATTTCAAAATCTTGTCTCATTAACCACCAGTGCCCTCTGACATGTAGTATTATTGAAACCTGGATATTAGGTTTATTCTGAAAAGAATTTGCTGTTCCTAGTAATGAGGAGGAACAAACTCTTCCACTGGGTCAAATAATTAGCCACTCACTCATTAGAGACATTTTGGAACTTCCTCAGAAGGTGCAGGCATAGATGATGCTTGAGATATTCACCAATGTGACAGTACCTCTATTTGAAGAGGAAAACAAGGGCTGCCAGGACTCTGTTCTGTGAAAATGAGTACTTTTTAAAAATTGAAATTGGGAATCTGAGTTCTTAATTGCATGGAGTAAATGTAGGAGGGAAAAAGATCTAAGCCATTCTATAGGCCAATAATTAATTCTGAAAGATAAACTTCTAGCTAGTTCCTTACAAAAGGTGTTTGAGGCTAATTTCAGCTGGTGCTCATGAAAGGCCTTTGGTATGTAGCAACAGCTGTGCTTACCTTTATCCTCCTGAAGTCAATGCAGGAGTTTGTATGGATGCTACCTAACCGACCTTGGAAACCATCAGCATGAAAACCTGCTCACTTTATGC